CTCGAACCCACAGATGTGAGATCATGACCTGAGCCCAAGTTGGATGCTTAACTGACTGAGCCACCCAGGCGTCCCTGCAGTGATTTCTTTTTTTAAGAGAAGACAGAAAAATACTCTGAGTGCTCCCATTTCCATGAATAACACCACCATTGATCCAGGTATGAAAGTCAGAAAGCCAAGAAACCGTGTGGTAGACTTAATTTGAAGTCTCCCAAAGGACCATGCTTAATATTTGTGCCCTTGCATAATCCCCTTTCTAATCTGGACTGGCCTTTGATCTTTAACCAAAAGAATGTGGCAAAACTAGCAGCTTCCATTTTTGCACTTAGGAGAAGTCAGCTGCCATGTAAGTCCAACCACCCTGAGACCACTAAGCTAACCACATGGAGAAACCAGGCAGAGGAGAGGAGAGGAGAACCAAACAAGTGAGCTGGCAGCAAGGACTGAGAACCCAGACAGAAGATCCAAGCTGAGCTGTTTGGGCCACCTTAGCTGATGGGCAGAACAGAAATAACCTGTCCCACCAAGCCCTGACAATATAGTTACTGTTTTAAGTCGTTACATTTTGGGGTAGTTTGCAGCAGTAGACAACCAAACACCTTGGCTTCCTTTGTCTTGTAACCCCTCCTTCGTTAAATCCTATCAGTTTGACCTCCAGAACATTCTAAATCCAACTACTCTCTTCATCTCCTCTGACACCATCTGACTCCCAAACTACCAGCCGCTTTTTCTGATAAAAACTGCAATAGTTTCTTAAGTAGTCTCTGCGCATCTACTCAGGGCCACTTCCAATCTGTACACCTTGCTGCAACCTGAGAGATCTTCCCAGAGCATAAATTATGTCACCCTCTCGCTTAAAATATTTCAGTAGCTTTCTTTTGCTCCAAGAATAAAAACCATCAAAGTTCTTTACGGGGTCTAATGCTTAACAAGTTTCTACCAAGTTTCTCGCCACTGACCCTGCTTGCCCTGTACATCTATCTTTTTCTTTTCTGCCAAACTAGCCTTTTTTTCTTTTTTTGAGTTTTTTTTTTTTTTTAATTTTATTTTTTGAGAGAGAAGAGAATGAGATCATGACCTGAGCTGCAATCAAGAATCAGACGCTAAACTGACTGAGCCACCCGGGTGCCCCCATACTAGCCTCTTAATTACTACACTCTGCCAATCCCTTTTGCCCCAGGGACCTTACATATACTATTCTCTCTTTCTGAAACCCTTTCCCACTCACCTGCCCCTGCCTGCTTTGTTAAGTGCCTCCTGGTTTATCTTAATAGGTTTCAGCTCAAAATCCCACTTCCACACAGAAGCCTTCCCTGACACTCCAGACGGGGCAAAATCTCCCTTTAAAATACTTTCATTCCAGGGCACCTAGCTGGCTCATTTAAAAGAGAATATGACTTTTTTTTTTTAATGTTTATTTATTTTTGAGAGAAAGAGAGCACAAGCTGGGGAGGGGCAGAGAGAGAGGGAGACAGAGGATCCAAAGCGAGCTCTGTGCTGTCAGCAGAGTCACCCCTAGGTAGAGCATATGACTCTTATTAATAGCAGGTCGTCAGTTCAAGTCCCACGTCAGGCCTGGAGCCTACTTAAAAAAAAAAAAAAATACAGGGGCGCCTGGGTGGCTCAGTCAGTTAAGCGTCTGACTTCAGCTCAGGTTATGATCTTGTAGTTTGTGAGTTCAAGCCCCACAACAGGCTCTGCTGACAGCTCAGAGCCCGGAGCCTGCTTCAGATTCTGTCTGTCTCTCTCCCTGTCTCTGCCCCTCTGCCGCTTGTGCTGTCTCTCTCTTTCTCTTAAATATAAGTAAACATTTTAAAAAAATACCCATTCCTCTCAGCACCTGTCATAGCTATAATGTTATTTATTTGGATAATGACTTAATTTAGGATTTAAGTAAGTATTTATTTGATGATTGTCTCCCCCACTAGACTAAGTTTCATTCTGGGTTTATCTGAGCTGAACCTTAAAGAAATGACAAGTCATCTGCACATTGGCTGGAAGTGCAGCCCAAATTCTTTGAAACTACAGTGGGATGTGTCCCCTCTCCTTGAATCTGAGCCCTGAGGCCTCCTGACAAATAGAAAATAGCAGAAATTACATTGTACTGTTTTTTAGGCCTAAGCCTTAAGGAAGTGGCCATCTTCCATTTCCTTTTTTTTGTTGTTAGTTTTTTTTTTAACATTTATTTATTTTTGAGAGACAGAGAGCAAGCAGGGGAGGGGCAGAGAGAGAAGGAGACACAGAATCTGAAGCAGACTCCAGGCTCTGAGCAAGATGTCAGCACATAGCCCGAAGCGGGGCTCAAACCCACAAACTGTGAGATCATGACCTGAGCCGAAGTCGGACACTCAGCCGAGTGAGCCACCCAGGTGCCCCGGCCATCTTCCATTTCCTATCACTTTGGATGCTTTCTCTTAAACCTAATCACCATGCTATGAGAAAGCCTAAATAGACCATGGAGAGGGACAAGAAACTTGGTCCTCAGGCTCAAATGCGTTCCCTGCTGATAGCACTAAATTTGCCAGTTATATCAATGAGCCACCTTGGAAACAGAATTTCTAGCCTCTCCTTTCCCAGTCCCCCCACCAAAATCCCATCTGATACTACATCATGGAGCAGAGATGAACTTTCACTATTGAACCCCGCCTAAATGGAAGATTCCTGAGCAAAATGATTTTTTTTTTAAGCTGTAAATTTTAGGTGGTTAGTTATACAGCAACAGAAAATGGGAACATCAACCAGAAGGACAACGCTGTGCAGAAAGGCAACACTTTCCGGGGCAGGATCACAGAGCTGTTTGTGATGTCATGCCATCCTGAGTCTTACTGAGCCCTGGCTGGCCAGGAGCCTGGAGTGTTTGTTGACATACAGAGGGGGAGTCTGTGGCAGTCCTCAACCAGAGGACAATCTGTCATGTTCATGCTGGTATGCAGGGTGCAGACCTGGATCCAGGGTTCTCTCTTGCTCACAACCTTCCCTCCCCAGGGAATTGGCTGGTGGAGACTACTACACTGCAGAGTTTTGCCCTGAGGGGCAGCCTATTCCAACTTCTGGAGGTGAATGTGAATGGCAAGGGTTATCAAATTAGCATTTCAGGGGTGCCTGGGTGGCTCTGTTGGTTAAGAGTCTGACTCTTGATTTTGGCTCAGGTCATGATCTCATGGTTTCGTGGGTTCAAGCCCTGCAGCAGGCTCTGCGCTGGGGATTCAGTCTTTTTCCCCCAACCACCGCCCCTCCCCTGCTCATGCTTTCTCTCTCCCCCAAAATAAATAACTTAAAAAAAAGAAGTAGCATCTCATTAAAGACTTGAGAGAGAAGAGACAGTTCAAGGGGGGAATCCAGGTATTCCTGCCCCAGAGGAATGTGCAGCTTTGTCCAGGGTGATTCAGATGAACACTCACATTCAATAGACAAAACTCCAAGAAGGCGCTGTGCTGAGCCACGCAACCTACAAGACACCTTCTAGGCCCTTGCTGTCCAACACAGTAGCCACAAGCCACTATGGCTATTTAAATTAAAATGTTAACTAATCAAAACTTTTAATAATTTAAAACAATTCCTCAAGTCTCATGAGCCACATTTCAAGTGCTAAACAGCCAAATGTGGCTAGTGGCTGCAGTATTGGACAGTGCAGATATAGACTATATCCATCACCTACATTTTATTGGATGGTACTGCTCTAGGCCCTTTAAGATTGGTCAACAGAAAAGGCCTTGCTCTCAAGGATGTGAGAACAAAAACAAGAAACAAGGAAAGATAAAACAAGGGCTACCACTGGGAGACTCACAGGAATGGTCACATTTATCAGGCCACAAATTCCAACCCCAAAATAGGTCCTTAAGGAGCTTTGGGGAGCAGCCTGAGTGGCCCACCTGAATTTTCAGCTTCCCTTCCTGGTCACTGATAATACTTTTTCCAAACTCCTTAATATAGTCATTTCTTGCCTGGGGGGTTTCAATTTCCATAACTTTAGTATCCAATATGTTCAACAAAAATGTAACACAGCATCATGGTTAAGAACATGGACTCTGAAATCAAACTTTCTGTGTTAAAACCTGACCTTGGCAAGTTACTCATTCTCATAGAACCTGGTTAAGGGTATTATAACCTACTTCCCAAAGTTATTGTGAAGATTACATGAAAAAGCTTAATGGTGCCACAGAATAGTGAATACTCAGTGAATATTCGCTCCGATTTTTCCTAAGCTTATTTAACCTTATTTGGGTTTTGAAGAAAGCCTTCAATGGGGATATGATCCCCCTATATCCTCAATGGGGATGTGTGATCACTTTATCCTTGTCTACCTCCATTCTCCGTGTCTTGCATGCCCCTCTTCAGTTCTCCTGATCTCTCAGGGCCGTCCCCGGCACTTTGACATGGTGGCACCTGGCTCCAATGTGGCTACCAACAACTTGGTACCAGAGTATGAGGACTCTTCATCTTAGGTGAGGCCACTCTCCTTTTCTGGTCTGTGCTTCCCTTCATTGCTTGGGTTCAGATTACCTAAACACTAAATGTATTCGTACTTGTAAAAGAAATCACAGGAGCCTGGAGTCTCATACTCTGGGTGAAATCCAGAGATTAGGGTGGGAGAAAGAGGGCTGTTAACGTTAAAAATGCAGGAGTTGCCTTAGCTGGCTCTTGCTTCACAGGTCTTGCAGTTTAACAGGCCCTGGGATAAGGCTAAAGGCCTTGTCTGAGTGAGGGCTGTTCACCAAACCGTGCCCCGTCTGCTCCTCAGGTCTGCGTGACGAACACAAGATAAAACAGGTGTGCACATAAACTATAAACTTAAATCCCTAAGGGTTGTTAGAACTTCCTCCACGGGAAGGCTGTGCTTTTAAGAGAGTGGCTGCTTTAAGAGGCGGGCTCCATCCCTACTAACAAAGAAAGTCCCCGCCCCCGGTTGCCAAGGTGCTCTATGGCGTCCCATTCTCATTGGTGAACGTCGGTGGGTGAGGCGCCCAGAGACATTTCCAACGAGCTGGCGGGGGGGAAAGATGGCGACGCCCCTCGGGTGGTCGCAGGGGGGGTCAGGATCAGTGTGTCTCGCTTTCGATCAACTGCGGGACGTGATCGAGTCTCAGGAGGAACTGATTCACCAGCTGAGGAATGTGGTATGCAGCCCGAAGAGCTGGGGGAGGGCCGGACCGGACACCTAAATGGCGGGGACGGGGCCAGACCCTGTCCCGATGTCGAGCTTAGAGCACATTGCCAATGGCGTCATCAGGAGGAGGCGGGGCCCGAGTATGTTCTGGCTGGTAGGGGTGGAGCCAAAAAGGGTCAAGGTCTTCATGATTATTTTCCAGGGAATTTAAACAAAATTAAGTTGCTTTCTACTCTCTGCCTGGTTGTGTAAGGCCTACTAGATATCTCCCCGTGTATTCACTGAGCCTCACTTTCCCCACTTCTAATTGGAGATGACTTCATTGGCTTCCCCGGGGTTCTCAGATGCAGGTATTGAAACTATAACGCGTTTTCCATTATGGACATCTCCTCCCCAGTGTCTAATGCAGCGCCATTTTGAGTGCAGTAAGCACAGGTTTGTCCCTTGCACATGTTAACTTAAGGGCCTGCGACCCTTTAATGCCCCTTTGCTTTTGCCTTCTGAGTCAAATCCTAGTTCATGAGTTCAAAGCATTGGAGCCACAGATTACCTGGACAGGCATGGTAAAGTCTTGGCCAGCTGAAGTTCATGGTTTTTCTGTTTTTATTTTCTATCTTGATAAGAGAGCTGGGAGATATCTCCATCTCAGAAACAAAACTGACTTAACATCTATTTCTCACCCTGAGGGGTGCGTGCAGCTCTAGGCATTCAATTACCTGCAATTCCCTGAGGGTACCCAGCTCTTCTTTGCAGCTGGCCTTTGCATGTATGTTCTCACCATCTAGAACACTTTTCTGTTCCACCCCCTCTTCTTGCCCACCCCTGTTTACCAGTCAGAGCTCATGTCTGATGACCCCTTCTCCAGAAGCAGGTCTGACCCTTCCCCAGACCAGGGGCCTCCTCTGGGCACCACAGCCTTTTGTGCTTCTCCGTCATAGTGCACACTGTGTTAGAAGTACTGGCCATGGGCTATCTCCTATATCAAACTGGTTGCTCCTTGAGGGCAGGACCTAGAGCTGAGCCTCTGTGAATCTTATGGAACCAAATTCTCCCTGTTCAGAGCCCAAGTCTCATCCTAGGTGCCCTGGATATCATCCCATTGTCTAACCTTGGTCCTGGTCCCTAGAGAGTACCCCTTCAACACCAGCCCCAGGCCCTCCCTGAGCCAGGCTCTGTTGCAGATGGTTCTCCAGGATGAAAATTTTGTCAGTAAAGAAGAGTTCCAGGCAGTGGAAAAGAAGCTGGTGGTAAGTAAGGGCCTCTGTGGGCTCCTGATCTTCCCCCATTTCCTGGGATCCCTATGGATGGGCACAGTTATTATTGGCCTCTGACAGCTTCCTGCCCTAGTAGTGAGGACAGAATCTTCCTGTACCCTGGCTTCTATATGCCTGTCTGAGAAATGGAGCTGTTAATGGAACCTAGGAGACCTAGGGTAGCTCAGGGGTAATGAGGTCACTGCTTTCTGTTCCTGCAGGAAGAGAAAGCTGCCCATGCCAAGACCAAGGTCCTCCTGGCCAAGGAAGAGGAGAAGTTGCAGTTTGCCCTCGGAGAGGTAGAGGTGCTATCCAAACAGCTGGAGAAAGAGAAGCTGGCTTTTGAAAAAGCGTGAGTGGGCCTTTCAAAGGGTTGTGAAGGGTTGGGGGTCCAGGCTGCCTGTCAGCCTTCCCACCCTCTCTTGTCTTATCTTCTCCACTCAGGCTCTCCAGTGTCAAGAGCAGAGCCCTGCAGGAATCCAGTAAGAAGGACCAGCTCATCACCAAGTGCAATGGTAGGCGGGAGGCCCGTGCTCCCCCCCACGCTTACATACATGGGCTCTTCCCTAACAGCGCAGTGCCTGTGTCAAGGGCAGGGTTTCACCCCAACTTCTGCCCCCGGCTGAGGATACCAGGAGGCCCAGGCGGGCCACACCATCGCAAAGGCCTTCAGGGACCAGGCAGGCCACGGAAATGAGGGAAGCAGTTGGTGTACAATATTCTGCATGGCCATAAAGGAATGGGCTCGCTCCCATTTTTCTTGAAACATACGACCTTTTAGTCCAACTTTTGTTTTCCCACTTTTGATGGGTATTAGAAATAGTGTACTTCACTCATACCTGTTACAAGAGGAACAGCAGGGCAAGTACAGTCCTATCTGGGAGCTGACTGCTAGGGACCCAGTAGGGAGGGGTAGGGACTGTGGTGACAGGAAGAGCCGTGCCCTCTCTCAAGGGCTTAGTGCCTCTGCTCTGGGGAGGAGGGGGGCAGTATTGTCAGACCCTTAAAAAAGAAACTGGAAGCCAGTTTTTCATGGAAACTTTTCTGACTTTTTAGTGTTGGCAACTGATTTAGAAATTTTAAAACTATTGTATAGGCTAAGTATAATATGTCCATAGGCCATTAGTTTTCATCTCTGCTCTGTGCAGATGTATGTGGCTCCTTGTTGGCTCACTTGGTGCCATGAGCTGTGGGGCACTTTCTGTCAGCCACCCAGTGTCTCTAGATCCCAGGAATGCCTTTCAGTTTCCCAGAACACTAAATTCCCCTTACCTGGTTTAAGGAACAGATCTGAATTCCACATGCAACATCTGCTTCATACATTGCAGCAGATTTTGAGTAGGCCAGAGACCAGAGCCCAATTCCAAAAGAGATTCAGAGTCCCTTCTGATGGATTGTCACCTGAAGTCTTGGGCACCCCATACCCACCAATCCAGCCCTCTCTCTCCCTTGGTGAGTACTCTAATAAGATGCCAACAGGCCGATATCTTGATTTGACTAGGTGGGCTGACAGGCCTTGTGGCTGTTTGACCAAGGGCTCTCAGTAGGGCCTCCTGGGGCCCAACAGGCAGTCACTGCCTCTGTACCCAAGGCCACCAGGCCCCACTCCTTCCTGTCTCTCTGCCTGTCCCCATACTTCCCTAAAAGAAACCTAGAGTTCTTTTCTGGTGGTACTCGAGCATTTCCTAGCGATCAGCCAAGGCCACGGGGTTCTATGTCTGCTTGTGGAAGGTGTGTGTGTGTGTGTGTGTATGCTATGGGGATGGAACCTGGCTGCCCTCCCCCAGAATGTCCCAGACCCCTCCAGTGGGACACAAGCCCTCACCTGAGCAAATCTCATGACCTGAGCCTCCCCCTGGCCTGTTGGCCAGGTTGGGGAACCTCCCTTTTTGTGGTTTTAGTTTGTTTTTTATACTTACATAGTTTCTTATTTTTCTCAAAGGGATTTTCTAACCATTCTCTCTGTGGGTGCTATTTATTTTAAATTCATCTCTAATTTATTTTAAAAGATTCACATAAATTTCTGATGCCTTTTCCCAAAAGAACTTCACAATCAATCAATCTGCGTGACCTGGGGAAGAAGGTTCAATAGGAATGGTCCTATGACCGAGTGAGCTCATTTTCATTCTCTTCCTTCTCCTGTGTCTTTGTCTCCTCTTTTCTATGCTGTGCATTAACTTTTTACCAAATCTTCTCTTCTGAAACCTTAAATACTTCAGCATTTCTACATTTTTTAGACCTTGTGTTCTAGTTAATGTTTGTCTAATCTTTAAAGGTGGTGGGATTTTCTTTCTAGGAGGATCAGAATTTTCCAGAGCTCCCTAAGGGTCAGTTCATGTAAATGAAGCACTGCCTCCCCCCCATCCCTACAACCTCTTTCGATTTGATGCAAGACACAAAAATCATCCTTGCATCTAATGAGCACTTAATTTGGGGTAAGCTTTGTCACCACTGTCTCCTCTCACCTCATGCCCCTGTGCTGTCCCTGTCCCCATATTACAGATGAGAAAATGGGTCTAGAAGAGGAGGCAACTTGCCCAAAGTAGCAATACTGTCTCATCAATATTAACACTGCTAAAACATCACCCTCTGTTCTCTGATCAGTTCCTGAGTTTTAACTCTCTTTCAGGAGCTGCCTCCTTGAGGGTAGGGGCCCTGTCTTCTCTCCTTAAGCCCTAGCACAAGTCTGGGCATCCAGCTGGCCCTCAGTACGTCTGGTTGGATTGAGATGACTGAACTAAGTGATGTTTCTAAGTCCTAACTCCCCAGAGGATATCCTGGTCATTCATTCCACACATAAATTTATTGTGTACCTTCTATGTGCCAGGTACGATTTTAGGCCTTAGGGTTAAAGCAGTAAATTTAAGTAATATTTATCATTATGGATTTCATGGATGTAAATCCTAGTAGAGAATAAAAGTGAGTAAAATATGTGGTATATTAGGTATAAGTGCTAAGAAGAAAAAGAAAGCAGGAAAAAGGGATAGGAACTATTGGGAGAGGTTGTACTTTAAACTAGGAAATGTCTTGCCAAGGAGGTGATAGCTGTGAAGATCAGCAGCAGTTAGGGACAGGAGCCATTCATCCTCCTGCCTTTGGCAGCACTGTCCACCTCTCTGCAGAGGCCTTTTCCTGCCCTCATGTGAGTCACCTGGTCCAGAATAGAGTTGTAAAGTCACTGACACATTCAGCAGACATTGTGCCGCTCAGTCACCATCCTATCAAAACGCCATAATAAACTCATTCTTACCATGATGTTAACAGCTACTTGTGGAGAACCCCTGGGTCAGGAGAGCCAAGTTCTAAAAAGACCCATAAGGGAATGAATGCCTTATTTCAGGAAGGAGCCCTTCGGATGGGAACCACGCCTTCTCCCTGCCTCTCTCCCCCACAGAAATTGAGTCTCACATTATAAAGCAAGAAGATATACTTAATGGCAAAGAGAATGAGATTAAGGAGTTGCAGCAAGTTATCAGCCAGCAGAAACAGATCTTCAGGTGAGGCGTCTGGGCTAGGCTGGGGGTTGTTGATGGAAGTAGGGAGCCAGCTCTCTGGTCCCTACCCTAGACTGTCCCCAGCCCATGCCCAGCCAGCTCCATTGCAGGAATCACATGTCTGACTACCGGATCCAGAAGCAACAGGAGAACTACATGGCCCAAGTGCTGGACCAGAAGCATAAGAAAGCCTTGGGGACGCGTCAGGCCCGGAGCCACCAACATCCCAGGGAAAAATAAAATTGTCTTCACCTTCCTGTTCTGTAGCTGTAATGCTGGACCTCTGCCTTCTCTGCTGTGGGGGTCCCCATCCCTCTGGGTTTCTGCCACGTCAGGCCTCACCGGTGCCCTGACTCCCAGAGAAGAGGCAGAAGGCACTCTTTTTTTTTCTCCCTGCCTGCCTCCTGGGCCTTCATGACAAAAGGGAGAATCAAGTTACCAGGGACTGGGTGGGGGACAGGCCTTGGACCACTACTTTCCAGGCCACTCCTTGGCTCAGAAAAGGATGCTGCTCAAGTCTTCAGCCCCTGCCACTTCCCTCCCTCCCTTGGATAGTAGGGGGAGTGAAAGTGTGGTGGTATAGCGTAGGGGAGGACTACTTTGTTATCTAATAGGCACTGTCCTTCCTCCTCTTGGTATTTAATCCCTCCCTATGTAAACAGCTCTGGTTACCCCTGGTTACCTGTAAACACCCCACCCCACTCCCAGTGCCTTGGTAAATTTAACTCTCCCAACTTGGCTATAGAGCAGGAAGGGCTGTGTGTGTGTGTGTGTGTGTGAAGTCCTGACCAGAGACATCAAAGATCATGGGTTCCAGGACCACAATGAATTTGGGAAATCAATTTCCATCATACAATGTTATGTTATACCTGTGAATCACACTTGCACCTTCTTACACTTCCCCCAAACAGAAGCTCGAGTCTTCCCAAAGGGAAGGAAGGGAAAAGGACCATGCTATGTCTATTTTTAAGGTGGGGGAAGTCTGCGAAGGGTCTAAGACTCACTAAAGTTGCATATGCAGGGCTAGATGACAGGCAGGTTTGATCCTTTCACAAGCCATCTCTGATGGCTAGGTGATCATGGAGACATACCCAGGCAGGAGACCCACTCAGAGGCTGAGTCAGATCTGTCAAGTCTAGCCTAACCTGGGTCAGTGTGAGGATGAGTACAATGGGGATGGGGGTGCTGATGCGTTTGCTCCAAGGCCACCTGGAGCCTGAATCATAGTAGGAACTCGAAGCCAGAAGTTTAAGGGTAAATGGTGCCCATTGTCATTGTCCCAGGGCTATGACGGGTGGTGACTCCTTCCCAATCTGTTCCTGTCCCCAGGGTGCTGGAGTGAGGGCCTTGCAAGTGCCTGGGAGAGCACAGAGCTCTTTCTGCCTCAGAGTCTTTATACAGGGGGCCACAGCTACCCCCAGAGGTTCCTAGGAGACCCCCACATAGGCATCCAGGGCTTGTTCTAGGTGCCAAGGCAGAATGGGAATGCTAGAGCTATGCACTCCAGCCCCATCCAGGATGTTCCCACTAAAGGCAATGGGTCCAGCCAGGGACAGCACCTACCTGAGGCCCTGGCACAACTTTCCGGGTCGAGGGAGCTTACCAAGCAATGCTTTCTATCGGATCGTGGGCTGATGGGTCAAGGAAGGTGGTGGGTACACCCTTATGAACTCTAGCTAGTACAAGTGATAAGGCTGGGGAGAAGGGGTGCACTGAGGTGATGGGAAGACACTGGGGGCTAAGGAGAAGATGAAATTGCTCACAAGATCTGAGTTGCCTGGTCTGAAAGTGTGGTCCTGGCCCCCTGGCTCACATTCTAATCCATACCACCATGGTCCTTGTTAGGCAGACCCCTGCTCAGCCTGTTTCCTAGCCTGTGGAGGAGTGGAGATGGGCCTAGCCCCTGGCTTCAAGTTGCACACCTGCCTTTCCCTCACCTTCATGTCAGCCAAAGCCTGGCGACGCACCCTGGGCTTCTGGCCCGCGCCAGGGGAGAAAGCTGGAAAGGTAGAGCCTAGGGCCCAAGTCTCTCCTGCTAGCGACGCCACCGCTTCGCGAGCGGACGCGGCCGCTTTAAGGCGCGGTGACCCCACGACATCCGCGGGCGGGGCGGGGACAGTGCGGGCGTCCGCGGCACCGGCGGAGGCTAACGTGAGGGAGGTAGTGCGCGGCGTCCAGCCCCACCATGCTGACCGCGTTCGCACCGCCAGCCCTGCCTGGGCTCCCAGGGCGCCTGCCTGAGGTCCCCGCCCGGCGCCAGGACTCCTCCGGTTCGTCAGGTTCCTACCACACGGCTCCGGGTTCTCCAGAGCCCCCGGACGTTGGGCCGGACGCGGAGTGCCGAGCGAATTGGCCCGGGGTGGCCCCTGCGCTGGGGGCGGGCGCGCAGCCTCGCCTGTCCGTCAGCGCCCAGAATAGCCGCCAGCAGCTCGGGACCAGCTCGGGTTTCCCGCGAGGCCCGGGCTCCGGCCCGCGGCCACCCCAGCCCCAGCTGCGCCTGCTGCCGTCGGGGGAGATGGAAGTCATCTTCGGCGCCGGGGCCCTGTTCAGCCGCTCCGACGCGGCGGATAGCGAGGTGCAACAGCTCACCGCTCGAGCTTTCCGCAGCCTCTCTCCACCCGGGCCCGCGACTCCTGCTCCAGCAACACCGACGCCTCAGACCCCGAACGGTGGCTCCCGCTGGGCCACTTACCTGGAGCTGCGGCCCAGCGGGCCAAGTCCTGGGACCCCAGCGCAGTTCGAGTGTGTGGAGGTGGCGCTGGAGGAACGTGCCGAGCCCGCCAGACCCCGGACTGTGCCCAAGCGTCAAATTGAGCTGCGCCCCCGACCCCGGAGCCCCCCGCGGGAGGCGGGCGCGCCGCGCCCCCGACTGCTTCTGCGCACTGGCTCCCTGGATGAGTCTCTGGGCCGCCTGCAGGAAGCCGCGGATTTAGTGCAGACAGCACTGGCCCGAAAACTAAGCCCTGCGGCCCCTGCCCGGAGCAGCGCCACCTTCGGGCCCACGGGGCGGCTGGAGTGTGCGACCCGGGAAACGGCCCGCAGTACCCGAAAGGTCCTGGAGGAGGCCAGGTCTCGGCCACCCCGCGTGCATCATAGTTCAGCCCCCGCCAGGGCACCACGGCCGTGGCCTAGCCTCCGAGAGCGCGCGATTCGGCGTGACAAGCCCGCGCCGGGGACCGAGCCGCTGGGTCCGGTTAGTTCCAGCATCTTCCTGCAGTCAGGGGAGAAGATTCAGGAGGCGCACAGTCAGGAACTCAAGACTCGGTTCCCGCGAGAGACTCTGGATCGAACCATCCTGAGAGAACCGTCTCCGCCTTTTGAGTCTAGGGACCCCCGGGAGGTTCTGAGTAAGGCTGGAAAACCTAGGAGCTCGTCCCCACTGTGGCAGGCTCCAAATGGGACCGTACGGGGTCCTCACTGCCCGTCCCCCCAGAATCTGCCTCCGTGGAATCGAGCTATTCGGAGAGTAAGTAGCCCGTCGTTTCCCGAGGCATCCTCTGCCTGGAGAAATCAGGATCCTGCTATCGAGGAAACTGTCAGCAGAAGAAGCCCTTCCCCACCGATCCGTTCTCAGTGGAATCAGGGTGTTGCCAGAACAAGAAGCCCATCCCCCGAAGCTCCTTCCCTGTGGGAGGTTCCGAAACCTGCAGTTGGGAATACCGCAGAGGGCAATAGGAGCCCGTCCCCGCCGGCCTTGTCCTCACTGGAGGCTCCAGATCGTACTAATGGGACGTGGAACCCATCTCCCCAAGAGACGTGGGATCCCACACTGCAGGGCTCATCGATAGTACCTACATCGGAAGCTCTAAATGGGATAGGACAGGAGGAGCTGGCGCTGCCTAGACCGTCCTCCCCCAGGACCCCCGAGCTCACAGACGCGCAGAGTCCGTCCACGCGGGAGATGCGGAATCTTGCCTTCCGAGGCAGTCAGCCGTCGCCAGAAGTGGATGCACCCGAGCTGCCCCTCAGTCGCCTCGTGGGCACCTTGGATGCCGATGTGCACCGGGAAGTCTCGGGCCCTGGAGAAGCAGCCTCGGGACGACCGCGCGTGGCCATTCCACGGCCCCGCGACGTGCGCAAGATGGTGAAGACCACGTACGCGCCAAGCTTTCCTCCGGGAACACCAGGTTCGGGGCTGCCTGCGCCTCCGGCGGAACCCCGCGGAGAGGAGGGCGGCTCATCCAAGACACAAGAGTTCCAGGCGCTGGAGTCCCCAGCCCCAGCTCACTACACTTCTGTTTATCTGAAGGACTTTCTGCCTGTCGTGACGCACCCCTACGAGCCCCCAGAGCCGTCCCCCGACACAGTCCCCCGGGACGCTTCACAGCCCAACGGGGTCCTGAGGCGGAGAGCAGAGAACAGCACGGCAAAACCCTTCGCGCGCACTGAGATCCGCCTGCCTGGTGCACTGGCCTTGGGCCGCCGGCGGGAGGGACCTGGGGGAGTCCTGGTGCGCGGTTCTGGCGTAGAGAACCGGGATGCGGAGGTCCAGCGCCTGGTCCCTGACGGCCAGGGGCGGACCAGCCCTCTAGGAGGCGCTCGCACCTCACCCCAGCAGTCGCCCATAGGGCCAGCCGGGCCCCAACCATCCAGACCACCCTGTCCCAGCTCCCCTCAGGCGAACCCTAGCTTGAGCCCTGGGATAGCACCCAAATTGGAGACGCCTCGTGTGGCCCCCGAGACCGCGACTGCTGTCCAGTCGTCTCTCCCGCGGGAGCCCCAGGCGTCGGCAGGCAGAACGGCCCCGCCCCAGCCCCGCGCCGCGTCAGCGCCACCGATGGACCGGTCCCCAGAAGGCCCTTTCCAGGGGGCGCGGAAGCCACCTGGGACCGCGTATCCGGGGAAGGTCCTGGTGGACCCCGAGAGCGGCCGATACTACTTTGTGGAGGCGCCGCGACAGCCTCGGCTACGGCTGCTCTTCGACCCAGAGAGCGGGCAATATGTAGAGGTGCTGCTGCCGCCATCGCCCCCAGGGCCACCCCGCCGCGTCTACACCCCGCTGGCCCTGGGCTCCAGCCTCTACCCGCCCGCCTATGGGCCTATCCCCAGCCTGTCGATGCCGCCATCCCCGGGCCCGCCGGCCTTCAGCGGCCCCCCGCTACCCTGGGCCTCTGAGGCGGGGCACCTGGACGGGATGTATTATCTGCCAGTGAGTGGAACCCCCAGCCCCGCACCCCCTCTGCTCCTCTGTGCTCCACCCAACAGCTCAGGTTCAGCCCAGCCCGGCAAAGGGTCCTTGTTCCCAGTGTGAGGTCTGATCCCCCATGGTGTTGGGGCCTGTTGGTAGCCTTGGAGGTTCTGGCATCCAGTCCCCTGCCCTTCTTGCCTTCTATCACCTCTTTCTTTTACTCATCGCATCCAGTCTTCAGACCGGAAGTTACCTTCAGAGAATGTATCTGAAACTTTGGGACTGATGGAGCTGGAATTCAGAAAGTGGCTGCCTACTTCCTCCCCCAACAAAATTGTATACTCCTTTCCCAAGCATTCCCAGAGTGTAGTGTGTTTGTGTGTGTGTAAAAGTGAGGGGTCTCAAGAGTTGTCCCCAGGAGCCAATTTGAGGGGCTGTTGGGGTTTGCTAGGGGCAACAAGAAATAGGAGCAGCAGAGGGCTGGGCTGCTCCCAGAGGTAGTGAGCTGTCTGTCCCTCCCTGAATGGTGGACCCAGCTGAGGTGGAGCAGGCTAGTGAGCACTGGTGGGATGGAAGGAGAAGGACTCTGGCTAGAAACTTTGTTATTCTTTGGAAGAGGGTGTGAGCCTTGGCCTGGGAGACTGTGTGGGAAAGTGGCCAGTGCAGCCCCTAGGCCAGGCAGGGTCTGAGAAGGAGAGCTGCTGAGACAGCAGGTGGAGGCAGAGCAAGGAAGTAACATGGAAGTGGTTATGGTTATGGACAGTCAGCCTGGGGATGGGGGTTGGGTGGGGAGGCAGCTGTAGTCTCCAACTGGTAGCCCCAACTCTCATCCTCCCCTTAACCTCAGCATCTGACTTGGCTTCTCTAAGCCCTCAGAGCTGAGCTGGCTCATCCTAGGGCCAGGAGTGGGGGGGCTTAAGCCATCCCCACCCAGAGTGGAAAGCAGATGAAGTGAATCATCAGGAAGGACTTACAAGCAGAGCCTCTTGACCATTCTGGGTTCTGGGTGTAATGGAGGATGAGTTAAGGCTGGCAGTAAAAGGGATGGCCCTGGGGTCGGGATGAGGGCGGGGACAGAGACATGGAGCCTCAACTGGTTCAACTGCCTCAGTAACAGTTGTGGCAACCATGCCCAGAGAGGGGGTGGCTCTGCAGGCTGGGCACAGCAAGGAAGGGCCTGTGTTCTAATTGCCCTGAGATTGTAGGAGCCTCTGAGGAGACCTGAGAAAGATGAATGGGGTAGGAGATGCTCTGCATGGGGGTCTGTGTGGAGTTCTGAGCTTGAATTGGCAGAAGCTTGTTGAACTGATAAGTGATGATGTGATGAGTTTGTGGAAGAAGAGTTCCCATTAGAAGCAGTTGTTGGGGACAGAGATGGATGCCTTACTTAGGTTCCAGGCCTCTGGGAGGTCTGGGTCCTTTGAAGTCTACCTGTCTGCCTCTCTGCCTTGGACTGGAAGCTGACCAGGAGAACTATGAGTCAGAATAACCTGAACATCATCTTATGGCCAGAGATGCTGGTTCTGATGACATGAAGGGCCCTGGGCTGCTCCTGGTCCCCTCACCTCATCCTGGTGTGCAATAAATCACTGACCCAATGAGCCATGATGGTCGGAATGACTAGTGTAACTTGTCTGATTTCTGATTTCCTATCACAACCCCTAACACCCCCCATAATGCTCTTCCATGCCTTGGTATGGCCCTCAGGCTCAGGGAAGGAGCCCATGTGTGTCTTTCGTGTGCCGTGGCATCCTTGCCTCAGCAAACTTGCCTCCCAGGGAGGGAGCCCTAGGCTGGCAGCCATGCCTGTGACCTAATTCCTCCTGGTGGCTGAGTGGCCAGTGGCTTTGGGGTCAATCAGGTTTGGATTCCAGTTTCAATATGGCCCTTGTAGCTGTATGGTCTTGGATTTGTCACTTCTCTCTGAGCCTTCATGTGCTCATAAAAATAACACTAACCAAGTACCTCTTCCCCCAAGGTACTCAGGACAGTGCCCACTGAGTTGCCAGATCCCAGGACATGGGAGGTATCAGCTCCTATGTGTTCTTGCCCACGCTCAGTCCCCCTCCTTACATCATTGTTCCCTATCTGTGAAATGGAGTTGAGTTGGCTGAAGCAAGGATCCCACTAGAGGAGGTGCACACGTGGCATCTTCAGGGCCCTGGGGGAAGGGAGAGAGTGGGAGGGGTGAGGTGTTGGTTCCCCATTGGTTGGGTCAGGAGTTCCGGGGCGGCCCCCACTGCACACATACACATGCACACCTGCACCCCAACCACAGCCCATGCTCACTGAGCCAGCTCCACAAACCATGAGGCTGTCACTGACACTGACACTGCTGCTGCTGGGAGCCTGGGGCATCCCAGGGGGCCTTGGAGACAGGCCTCCACTCACAGCCACTGCCCCGCAGCTGGACGATGAGGAGAAGTACTCAGCTCATATGCCTGCTCACCTGCGCTGTGATGCCTGCAGGGCGGTGGCCTACCAGGTGAGTACCTCCCCCCAGCAGTTCCCCTGACCCTATCCAGGCCCCTCTTGAAGACAGTCCCCTCCTTCTACCTCAGATTCTACTATTGGCTTTTGATTTCTTTTTCTTTTTTTTTTTTTT